CCCCCCCCACACGGTCCCCCAGCCCGCCTTTGTTTACCTTCGCCTGATCGCTCATTTATTTATCTATCTATTATTTATAGGCGTCCCCTCCTATTCAGCGCCCGTGTATGTTAATTGTGTTATACCATTTAATTCTAACATCGGTCTCAAAAGAGCTCTTAATGAGAAAAGCATATACAACACGGATCACTTTGCTATTCAGCTCAGCCAGATGGACAACTGCTAACTTTTTCTTTTTTTAATAATGAAAACCCCCCTTTAACAAAGGGGCTCGGATGAATAGGCTCCAAATAACACCTCAAACACTTCTAATTGTTTTGAGGACAATATGCTAATCCGTGGGTTTTGGCTTTAGGGTCTGTTGACAACATTTTCAGTGCACTTCCAGCCACCGACTCCTTTGGAAACGGCAGAGGCAGGCGCACAAATCCCTCAGCAGCAGCAGAAAGCAGACCAGCCGCTAGGCTGCCCCCCACCCCCACCCCACACCACATAAAAGCCAGTGGGAAAGCCACCCCACCTACGGAAAACAACCCCCGCATGAGCGCGGCTTTGAGGGGTGGGGAGAGATGGGGGAGATGGGGGTCTGGGGGTAACTTAATTTTGAGATTAAGTTTCAAAGAGTTGTACTGGAAGGCCTGAGAAGGTCCTTTCTCTCCTCGAAAAACAGCAGTCTTCAAGCTAACATTCACTTAGTGGTGGTGGTGGTGGTGGTGGGGGAGGGTTCTTTTCCTTGTTTGTTAAACACCAAGGGCTTTGAGCTATTGATTTTTTAAAACTCGTTGCCCAAGCCGTGTCACTATCGACTTCTTTTTCCCTTTGCTCACACAGGATCTTAGTAAAAAGTCTCCCACTGCGTTTCTTAGACTTTTATTTTTTAACTTAAGGACCGGTATAGAGTCCCAGGCACCTGTTTAAAAAAAAAAATCGATTCCACCGGTCTTCCCACCTGCATTGAACTTAAACAGCCACCGCGGGACCGGATGCTCCAGCGCAACTGGTTCCCAGTAGACTCGCGCTTCTCTCCACCCCTTTGGAGTTTGGTTTTTTAATAAGAAAATGCACCCAGACCTTTGGGCCGGCCTTTGTCTTAGCTCATTCGCTCCTTGAAGTGGTCTTACCACTTTGTGAAGAACGCAGGGAAGGAGTGACGTCCCAGGGACGGATGCCTTTGTCCAGCCTCTAAAGGCAAAGGGCGGATTCGGAGGGTGCAATCGGGACAAATCCCAGATTCTGGGACCCTTTGCACCCAGCCCAAAGGTCACTAGGCTCGGCGAACGCACACCAGCCACTTGCCACCACTGCTGGAGTCGCTCTGCGCACTCTCAGCCTCCCAGCGACCCAACTCCTCGGCCCCGCGGACCTGGCCTCCTGACTTCAGATTTTATGCACATCAGAGGTTACTTTTTGCAATGACAGATTGTCTTTATTCGAAACGTCTTTGTTCAACAAATGAACAGAGTAAGGAGATGAAATCCTTCTAGGTACATTTCCAAGACATCGTCAAAACATTTATGACTATTTAGGATGTTTTTATTCTTTTCATTTTTGTTCACTTTCTACTTCCCGACTTCATAACCCGACATTCTGTCTAAAAGTAAACTTAGGTCTCTAGGAGCACTGCTTTATACAAAGTAAATAACCATGTGGGTCCTTTGTTTTACCTTTAAAGAAGCAAACACTATCATAGCATGATTTTAAATAGAAATGTTTCCCTTTCTGTAGTTTTAAACTTTTAAGCTTTTCCCCCACACATGAAGAGCAAATGGCACCTAGTTGTGTCTGATGGCAAAACACAGAGCTAACTCTTTTCCTCAGGGTGCGAAAGAAAAAAATATGCATATTCTAGATATAATACCAGGATGTGGGAGTTCTGGAGTCCAAAGCCCATCAGAGGAGAGAGGTGGGGACATAAATAAAGCAAACTGCCTAGTTTTTTTTTGTTTTTTTTTTTTTTGTCCAAAGTGGGTACAGTCGGAGATCTGTTTTGGGACAGTTGGGGTAGGGGCAACAGTATAGCTGTCATAACGTTCGCAAGTTTCTGGCACCTGTCAGCGCCTTGGGTCCGGTAGGACGCCCCTATCATCCCCCTGGAAGAGAAATGCAGAGTCTGGGGTAGGGTAGGGGGCGGCAGGCAGGGCTGGCCCCGAGGCGTCTGCAGGCCCAGGATAGGCGCTGAGGACAGGGTGCAGACCCCGCTTCCAGGCCGCCCTCCAGGTCTGGCGGGCCGGGCTAGGTGTTACATGGCCGTGGCGTGGGCTGACGAATAAGGATCTATGCCAGTCTTGGTCATGCCCGGAAAGAGGATGTAGGCGACCGGGGGCTGCAGGGTGGAGGCAGACCAGGCGGTACAGTTACAGGGCACCACGTAACCCGGGTTGGTGGGGGACGGGTGCGTGTGCGTGTGCTGGCTGGGGCAGCTGAGGCTGCCGAAGGCGCCGTTCTGGTAGCCCAGGGTGGACGCGTAGGGCAGCGCGCCGGTGGCCAAAGTGTGGGGCACTTCACCCATCTTCTGGATGGCGCTCGAGCTAAACTGCGCGGGGTCCAGCAGGGAGTAGGGCGCCGAGGCGGGCGGCAAGAAGGCCCGAGCTTTCTCGGGCGCGCTCAGGAGGCCGTCGGAGGCCCCCACAGGCAGGCCGGCCGCCTTGAGCGGGTCCGTGTCGCCCAGGTAGGGCAGGGGGAAGACATACCTGTCCTTCTTGAGCAGGTTCTTTGGCTTGCGCCGTGGCCGGTACTTGTAGTCGGGGTGCTCCTTCATGTGCTGGGCACGTAGCCTCTTGGCCTCGTCGATGTACGGCCGCTTCTCTGCCTCAGACAGCAGCTTCCATTCGGCGCCTAGGCGTTTGCTGATCTCTGAGTTGTGCATCTTGGGGTTTTCCTGGGCCATCTTGCGCCGCTGGCCTCTGGACCATACCATGAAGGCATTCATGGGTCGTTTGATGTGGTCTGAAGGTTTGGACATGATCCCGGAGGCTAGGAGGGTGGGGGTGGGGAGTGCAGGGGCTCTGCAGGAGAGCCTGGGCGCGGTTGTCTGTCTGCCTGTCTGTCCGTCCTGAGCCGGGGCTCTGAGCTCCCCTCGCCTCCGTACCGCTGAGGGAACCCAGAGAAAAGCACTAACCCCGCAAAGTTCAGCTGATCATGCCAGTCTCGGCACCGAGGCAGGCCCCGGGGGGCGAGTGGGGGCAGGAAGGGCGTGGTAGGAGAAGGCGGCCGGCCCGAGGGCTGCCGGCACCAGAGGCTGGGGCCCAAGTACCGGAGTCTCTGGGATTAAGTGGCCAGGTAATTTGCTGGCGAGGGCAGGAAGCTCCTCCTTCCCCCCCTCTCCACCTTCGCCTTCTCTGCTTCTCTTCTCTCCGGTGTCTACAGCCGTCGCTCCCTTCCCCCTCCCGTGGCGTTCCCGTAGCTGCCTCGCTTAGCGCAGTACCTGGCTGAGAATGCGGGGTGGCTGGTGAACGAGAGCCAAAAGCGGCGAAGTTCAAAGGCGAGGTGGGCCGGGACAGCACGCACTCTGACATAAGCGCTGGGCGGTGACTCCCCAACCTGGGCGCCAATCAGCAGCAGAGAAGGCGAGGAGGCGCACCTGCCCACGCGCGGGTGGAGGCCCGGGGAGCGCGACTGCTGGGTGCGGGGAGAGGTGTGAAGGAGAGACTGAGATCCGGAGGAGCACGGAGCGGCCAGCTCAGGACTCGGGGCTTGGATTGCACATTGTCCCTGGCACTGTCAAATAAAACTCTCCATGCCTGTTTTCTTTCCCGGTTGTGCAAAGGAGAATTAAGGCTTCGAATACAAAGACCCGGGGAGGGGGCAGGAAAGGGAGCGAGCCGAGAGCACGTGTTGATAAATAGGACAGCCGCGCCGCGAAATGCAAGTACAGCACTTTCCCCTCTTGTCAAAGATCCTTGGAAGAGAAAAAGAATATATCAAACTCAGGTTAAAAAGCGAAATAAACTTTTAGCGCCATACTCTCGGCGGTCCTTGGGCGGCGTTCTCATGGGACGCCCCTGCGGCTCCGCCTCTACCCCTGCCCCAGAATACGGCTCCCGGGCAGAGCGCTGGGAGCCCGGCTAGCTCAGCGGTGCGTTCCAAGCCGTAGCCGAAAGGCCTCGCGCGTCTCGCAGTGCAGAGGTTTCAAACCCCGGTTGGTGAGCCTTGAACAGCACGGCGACCTGCTCTTCACTTTCGTGGAGGAGGAGGGGATGGGGTTTCCATCACGATTCCTATTTATGTTATTCAGTGTTTTTAAACCTCCAACTTTCCCTCCACACCCGCCCTAACGCAAGGGTAGCTTGGAGGCCCGCAGGCGCGCGCCGGGGCGAAAGGGCTTTCCTTATTGCCCTTTCTACAGCAACCCTAGAACGGAGTCTCAGGCTATATTCGCACCCAGGGTCGGTTTGTCCCTGGGCGCCTTTTTCCACCCGGCGAGAATGCGAAACTCGTTTCTTGCGTCAGATGAGTATTCTTCGGGTAAAGAGGACGAAATAACCCGCAGAGCTAACCTGCGCGCCTGTTTCGTTTGAATAATTGCCTGCCCAATGTGAAATGCCCTTGGGGGAAATATTTATTAAATGGAAACTATTGTCCCAGGCCCAGCAGGACCTGCGTGTGTTCCAGGCTTATTGGCTTTTGCACCAGCCTCTCTCGGGAGGACACACCAGAAACGCGCACTGCTCCGCGGGCTTGGAGGGTGTGGGGGTGGTGGAGATCCAGGCAGAGAACTAGGTGACAGGGAAAGTCTTGCTTTAGCTGGTACTGTATCAAGTTTGAGGTGAATACTTTGCTTCTTCTTCCTACAATTAGAAAGACGCGTGGCATCTCACCCTTAGCAAGCTCTTCAGAGAGATGGGCATTATGCCCATTTTACAGATTAGGAAACTGAGGCTGAGAAAGGCTAAATGATTTGCAAAAAGTGACTCCAGTGGGAAGTAGTGACACCAGGTGTATAGGATTTGAAAACACCTAATTTTTTTTCCACCCCACATGGTGCCACATCTGCGGATTTGATGGTGCTGCAGCCCAACGCGGAACTCTTAACGAGACTATTGGAGTCATCCAAACCTGCCATGCAGATAAACCGAACTGGAAGACTGGTTCTCATGCTTGTTCTTGATTTACTTAGGCTCTGGTCCGAGACCCGGCCTCCTTGAGCATACACTTCGCGCCAAAGTTGCCACCTCGGCTTGGGCTCTCCAGCACGTGCACGGTCTTCTCAGCCCCAGGCTTGGTCTCCGTCCTGCCCTCTACCTTTGTTTTCTCTGCAAGTTTCATCTAGCTTGGGGTACCAGGAAGTAGAAGCGCTTTTCAGTCCAGTCCGGGGAGGGTTTCCAAGAGTCGCCGGCAACCCCTACTCAGGTGGAACTAGCCTGCAGACTGAGCGCTGCTTTCAGAGCCTGCTAGGAATTAGAGGTCTAAGGGTCAGGCGACTCGAGTTCCACCGCGAGATCTCGACAATTTGGGGAATAACAGAAATGCTCAAATCTGCAGAGTGGTCCAGCATCGGCAGGGACCCGCTAAACAATCACACCGAAATCCTCAGGGGACACCAAACCCACTCACAGAGGTTCGGGTTAATGAAAACCAACCTCTTGGAAACTACTTGAGGGGGGGATCTGGCACAGGGTCGTAGACACCTTTCTCTCTCCCCAGCTTCCAGGCCAACTCTTTCCGCTTGTCCTGAGGCAACTCCAGGCAGGAGTGCGCCCCCCTTCAGTTCCTCATAGTCTTCTTGCTCCTACTGCCCGCACTCCCCTCTAAACATCTCGCGCTCAGCCCTGGTTCTCAATCCAAGAGGCTGGAGCGGATTAGTAGGAAGGGCTCGAAATGATGGAGTGGCAATTTGTGGGCAGGGCACCTCCTGACCTCCCAGGCTGCACTGACCCTTGCGGGTGCCAGTATCTCCCTGCGCTTTTTGGCCTTGGGACTTGAACTCTGAGCTGGGAGGTAACTCCCCGCCTGGCATCTTAGCGTTTCCTAGGCGAACGGCGCAGCTGCTTACATTCCTTACGCAGTGCTGGTTGGCCACGGGTTTATTAAGGACTCCTTAGAGTTGGCCTCCCCCACAGGAGTTCTCGTGATCCCGGGGCCTGGCCTAGTGCTGTCTCTAGCCTCTCCTTTCTTTTGCGCTGCGCGACCCCAGAGCTCTGCCTCTCGGCCAGACCTAGACCTCAGGGCACACATCCTGGAGAGATGTCCCCTGGGAAGAACCAGGAGCTTTGGTCACCTTTAAAAGACTTAGGACAAAGTCGCTTAAACGCGTCTCTTTTTTTATCTGAAGCTCGGGCTTCAGGCCACCAGGTCACTCTCCAGGTCTGGAGACGTCCCTGGGATTTGGCCTTTCCGCTTCCGCGTTTGCCCTGAGAATCCGCGGACAGCCGCAGTACGCGCGTCTTTACGCAGAGCACTCAAGGCACTCAGCGTGCCCGCCTAACCCTAAGGTCTGGACCCCTGAATAAGAGATTTTGACAGATAACAGTCGCGGTTCCGGTGGAAGTGAAGGAGAGGTCACGACCTCGGAGGTCATGACCCTATCTCGTCTTGCCCCGCCCCCTATCACTTGGCGCCCCAGCAAGGTCCCAGATGCCTGTTCCTTTCTTTGGCTCTTGGGCTTTGTGGGGAGCCTTTCCTCTCTTCTTCCGCCCAACTCCTATGCGTACCTCAAGTCTCTTTCAAGGCTTCACCTCCTCCGTGGAAACTTCTTTAATTCCCGAGCTGGGCTAAGACCCGCTTCTGTGCTCCCACTCGCACACCTTCTCCATCACATACCCTCTTCCCCAGCCTCGTGTGGAATCCTGTCGCATCCCTTTGTAGTCCACCAAACTTCGAGCTCCTTGAAGGCGGTGGCTGCGTGTTGCTCTTCTTTGAGTGCCCAGTGTCAGTACAACGCCGGGCGCAAAGAAAACGCTCAATAGTTTCCTTCTGCCCAGGCTTAAACTTTTCCATCAGGCCTTTCCCCGCTTTGCAGCTGAGGGGACAGTACCCCAGACACAGCCTGGTAGAGCCAAGCGCGGAATTCCGGGGCCTCCAGGCCCGCACCCACCTGCCTGGCCTCAACCTCTGCCCGTCCTCCAGCCACCATCCACTTCTCTCTAGTGTGCAGAAAGTCTCCGCTCGGAAGCCTCCGGGACTGAACGACAGCGAGCGCGGAGAGGAAGGTGCGCAGACCGTGGCTTTGAGAACGTGGTTGAGGAGGTGGAGGGGAAGATGGGACCGTGCCACGAGGCTCGCGCCTGATCGGTTTTCTGGAGAGGCCAAGAGAGTCGCCTGAGTCCTGACGGGCAGAAATGCTGGGCGCTCGAGGGACGAGAGTCCTGCCGGCTCACCGCGGCCCCTCTCGGATTCTGGAGAGGAGCTGGGCGAAGTTCCAGGTGCAGGTTTGGGGGAGCCTTCGCTTAGCCTCGGTTCCAGCTCTCAGCGGGGAGTGTGAGCGCGAGGCACGCTGAGATAGGTGTTCAGCTACGGGAGCGTTAATCCGGCCCACCCCTGAGCATTTACAATCCAGGAGCCAACATTGAGAATGATAAAATGATGCTGGGAAATAATGCACTTTGGTTAAATCATAAACTTTTAATTTTTCTTATTACCAAAATATCTTAATATTTGGCAACGCTGCTTTTTCCTTTTTTTCCCCCTGTTTTCTGTCTATTTTCAAATTCAGAGACCTTGTATATCCCACCTTTCGAGAGTGCCCTAAAACTTCCTTCCAGAACCTAGTCCAATCCACTAGGACGTTTTGAAATTGTGTAAAACTCACGGGGCCCTCACACAGATCGCACAGGAGGGCTCGGTTTCCACCAAGAAAAAAGGAGAAACAGTACAAAACCCGATCCCAGGACAAACGCCTGGAGCGCCTGCAACAGAGTGCGTTTGCTACACACAGCTGGCAGAGGTGCTTGGCTGGGCTGAAGGACACTTCTTTCTGTCTCAACAACCAGAGCGCGCCCAGGTAAGGAGACTTTTTGATAGTTCAGGCTGTCTTAACTTGAGGAGCTGGGGACTGGTTGAAGCACAGATCACGTGATCACCGATGTGCTGCAAGTTAACAGATGATTGTGTAACACCCACACACATCTCCCAGAAAATGGAAGGGATGGAGCAGGGCTTTTTAATTTTATTCATTAATCAATTATATGGCTGTTTATTGAGCACCTACTATGTGCCAGACAGACACTGTGCTGGGTGTTGGCATACAGCAGTGACCAACACCTGCAAAAGTCCCTCTCCTATGGTGCTCATAGCCCAGTGGAGGACAGACAAATTCCTTCATTGATTCCTGGCTCTACCAACAAGTACTTGCATCACTTCAGGCAAGGTACTTAACCTGTCTGTGTCCTGGTTTCCTTGTCTGTAATGGTCATAATGGATTATTATCAGGACTAAATGAGTTGTTATGAGGAAAGCCTTCAGAACAGTGGTATGGGAAACTGCTCAATAAATGGTCAGTTTATATTATGTTATTA